TGATTAGCCATGGTGGCCATCTCACATTAAATTGACTGCATAAGTACAGTACTAGATGTTTGTCCAATCAAAACTTTCTGGTAGTTTAATTAAAATCCATCCAATCATTCACGAGGTATATGTGTCATGGTCTGAGGTGAGTGGCCTCCTACTAACAACAGGTGAGTGCTTCATTGCAGGTCGGTGGTGCCCGAAGCATCTCAAGCCCACGTCTCACTCCTGTTAATCTCACTCTCCACCCCTCACCTGCCTCCACTACTTAAACTCCGACTCCCTATGCCCTTCCTCTGTTCATCTCCTGTGCTCACCTCCCAAGCCCAAGTGGTGCTCGCTGCAGAACCACAAAGGCGGAGCTGCACCAGAAGGTGGAGCTGCACCAGAGTCAGCCCCGCCCATTCCAGAATCAGCCCTGCCCATTCCATCAGAGTCAGTCCAATTCCTTCCAGTTGTCAGACTTGATAGCATTCTGGAACCAAAGAGGGTGTTATAGCTAAAAAATGCAAGATTGAGGATGGAGTTGAGAAGTTAATTGAACAGTTTTTGTAAAGGTTCCATATAATTGAAAATCTAACTTTTGGAACTTTTAATCATGTTATATTGTCATTTCCTCATAAGAAGCATGCCAAAGCAAATTTTAGCCTCATTCATGCATTTTCCTCCCATCTCAGCTTCAATTTGGTCTCCTCCCCCGAAGTGGGTCTGGTCTTGGTTCTCAAATCTGGATATTCTGTGAATTTTCTGACAAATTATTTCTGAAATGACCTCTACTGAGACACCGCCGAAAAACCATACAACCCATCTCAGAGACACACTAGGCAGCACAATTAGATGTAACGCCGCATGAGTTATAACAGATGTGGTGGTGTAGTGGTTATGGAGTCAGGTTTACATGCAGTTTTGTGCAGGTTCGCCTCCCATTACTGTAAGTTTTAGGTAGTGTACAACCTCTTTTCTTCATTTCTAGCTACACTTGCCAGTACTATGTTTACAACAATTTACTGGTATACAGTTTAACATATAATGACTAATGTGTTTTTTTATTTATTTATTCGTTTATTTAGCCAGTGTGAGTCCATTTGTGAGCAGAGTTTCAACTAAAATGCTGTTTAGGAACGACCAAATTCAAAGAACTTTTACAGACATAAATATTTTGCTGAAAATAAACATTACAACTAAAATATAAACAAATTAAATGTTTCAGCTGGCTAAATAGATTGCTGACGACCCCGCCGAGAATCGAACCAGCATCAGCTGAGGGGAAAGCAAAACTTAACTCAGACGATCTCACCACTAGACTACCAAAGCCCATTCAAAAGTCTGTAATGCTGTTATACACCATTTCTGTTAGACCGGCTGTGGGCAGATATTTGCTGAAAGAAACCTTTTCATTTCGAGATATATTCAGTCTTTGTCATGTAGCAAGTTATATTTATCTTGTTTAATTGGAGCATAGAACATAGCATTAACGACTGTAAACTAGTAACAGCCGTAATTCATGTGGGTCAGGTCAGTTTGCGATAAAGTTGAAAACAAAAACGGAAGTCAGTGGGCTAGGCTGAGTTTGTGTGAATGGGCGGGGCTGACTCTGGTGCAGCTCCACCTTATGATGCAGCTCCGCCTTTGTGGTTCTGCAGCGAGCACCCTCTCCCCAAGCCTCTCAACCACTTCCGTGTGTGGCCACCTCCTCAGACCTGACCCCTCCCTTCGAGCTCTCAACCTCACCGGTTTCAGTAAGCCACTATTCCTTTAAGTTTCCAGCTACTCACCCTGTCTCTAATTACAGACCCCGACTCTCAAACCAGCTGCATGCTCCAACATTTTGCCAATTTATTTATGCTCCTGTGGTTAAATTAATTATTTGTTTTACTTTGGTCTCCAATGTCCTGATTCTGTATATCTTGGGTTAAGAAACTGAACCAAAACATGACAATATAACTAAAAGTGTAGACATATATGTTCATCCCTCATTTGGCTGTGGGTGATAATTATGAAGCTGCAGCAGTCTGAGTTTCTGTTCTTTCAATGCTGAGTAGTAAAAAATTCCTTTAGGCATAGAAAAGATTAGGTTTTTAAAGAAAAGGAAAACTCTTCACCTCATTTTTTTTAAAAACAGAGTTTATACATTTTCAGAAGAGTTGATTTAGGTTTTCATGTCGGTACGTTTTTCAGTTTTTGTTTACACAGCATGCATTTTAAAGTGCTCCCAATCCTTATAGTATTAAACTGTCCATTTATATTTTAATGAATATTTTGGATTAATGATTAAATTAAAAACCATTTAATTCTCCACTCAATCCCCCGTTAATGCCTATCAGCTAGCATTACTGTAAGACTTGTTTAATTAATTGACTCATACTGTTTAGTTTAGTCCTGTCTAAGTTCAGGTTGTTCCATAATTTTCCTGACCCATGAGTCCACCAGATAAAAGCCTTTCTCAGATAATAAAGTAATTTTAACCACTGAAGTGTTGCTGCATGTTTGAGCTCCTGACAAATGAGAGGAATAGGGCTAAATGTCAGAAACCTACATTGGCAGGGAGGTTTGTGGGATTCTTAGCAGCAGAAAGGCTTGACACACAACAGTGCAAAGGCCAGGTTAGAACTGAAAAGATAGACAGCTTTAAAATGACCAGCAGTGAGCTTTGAACCAAATTTTATTAAAAACGTTAGGTGATTGTTGAAACGTTCTGTAGCAGAAAGACTTCCTGCAAGCTTTAAAAGATCTCCAGCTGAGCAACATGCACGTGGCAGAAATGGCCAAGAGATCCAAAAGCATATTGCTGCGCTCAGGAAACAGACTGTTATTATTGCCAAAAGGAGGCATATATCTGTCTTTTATTTTCTGAGTAACAGATCCAGAAAAGGGTGCCAAATAACTCTAAATCTGGCTGACTTTTATTTTTCTTAGACAGTATATTTCCTACTTTCCTTTTTTTAATGCTGTAAGCTTTACATAGTCTGCATTAGTTCAGGTTGAACTAATCAGAAATCAAAACATTCAGGTAATTTATACTATTGTCATGTTACTTTTTGAAAATGAAAGCCATAAGAAATGAATGCAGATGCCTTCCAATCAATCTACACAAAACTTCACGTTGTTTAAAGTTGAATACGTTAGTAGTTTTCCACCCAGATACTCCAATCAAACTTTTAAAGACAGGTCAGGAAATTATGCTATTATACTAATTTAGCTAATTGATGTATTTTACCTTTTCTTAAAGCTCTCATTCACTCAATACATACGCTGTATTCCTTAGCATAAATGAATGCCTCCTGAGTTTTCTTTGGGGGGAAAAAAGCTCCTGCACTCCTGTTTCAGGAAGTACAAGAAAGAAAACAATTTTTAAAACTCTACGACTGACTCTGCTCTGCAACGTGGATGTTTTATCTCTACAAATAACACAAGCCTGGAGGAGTTCTGCTGTGTGGTGTAGTTGCTAATGCTAATGGTTAGCTTCTACTAGCTGAGACATTCTCTGCTGTTTCCTGGACGCTAAACCAACAACAGCCTTCCCCGTTGTGAGTCAAGATGGGTGAGTCCATGAATGTTAAGTCACAGTGTGACATAGATCTGTCAGGATTTTCTAATCCTAGAGTTTCACCATCTATTTTCTATCAGAAGTTAATGTAGGAGATAGGTGTAGGAGACTATTTTCATGTTCAGCCTGTATGAAAAACACAGAATGACTAACTAGAATCAGAAATAATCATTACATTTTTTTCCAGTGAACCACACCTTTACCTTTATATTCACTTCAAATAGAAACAGCTCATTAACTTCAGCATATTCCAGAAAAACCCCTGCAGCACTCAGAATAGAATATAAAACTTTGTCTGACACCAAATCAGTTACAGATACTCATCTTTCAACAGGGTTCAGCATCATTCACACTCACATAAACCAGTGAAAGACCATACCATATACTTACACACACTAAAAACACACAAATTGATCCTTAAAAACATTAAAATAGCTTATAGATTATAGGTGTTGTATGAACTAGTCGACTTCACGGCTCTGTAGTGGCTTTTTATGCCTGTCATCGACTAGTCGCTGTCACGTGATAATGACTGTCAAGATGCAGTCCTCCAGCAGGTGATGAGCCCCTGGGTCGGGAGGCAGAGGCGACGCGCTGTGCCAGTGCGTCGGTAGTGACACCGGCGGTAAAACGGACATTTAACCAAACTGTGACCTTTTCCCTCTTGCAATTTTACCTTCCCCTCACCCCCATCCTAATCTTAACCAGTTTGCACATGCAAAGCTCTGATCGTGGACGCGCTCCAGACATCTGCGTCCTGAGCACGGCCAAATCAGGTGTCACCACCTCAAAAACAAATTAGTCTCTCCCAAGTTGGCAGATCTAACCAAAATAAACTACATCCCACTTTTAAAGAAAGTGCAAGATGATCTTGCAAGATGGAAATCCTTACCGATATCACTCATGGGGAGGGTTGCTACAATTAAAATGACGGTCTTACCCAGAATAAATTACTTATTTTCATTAATCCCAAACAAGCCACCAGCTGACTGGTTTAGATCTCTGGACTCCTCAACCACAAAATTCCTTTGGCAGGATAAACCTCCACGAATTAGCTTAAAAACGCTTCAGAAGACCAAGGACAAAGGAGGACTGGATCTACCCAACTTTTATCATTATTTCTTAGCCAACAGGCTGCAATATATATCAAGATGGTTGCAAGATAACTCACTAGATGAGTCCTGTTAGATAGAGAACAGACACTTTGCAATACGATAGAGCTTCCAGACTTACCATTTATTAGCTCAAGCATAAGAAAACAGGAAGGCTTCAAACGTATTAATATCAGCACCTCTCTGACCGCATGGTGGGAATATCTAAAAATTATCCTTTTGCTCGGAGCAGGTATGACAACCTGATATGTAGCTTCTTACGTATCTGTAAGTAGACGGCCACCAGAAAGATCGTCTAATGAGAGCCACAATACGACCCACTCCCGGATGTAGCACGTACCTGCCGGTATGAGCCCAGTGTATGACCTTGCTCCTCATTGACTGGGGCACATAAAACTTGCCTGGAGGTCTGTTACCAGGACCGGGGTCCGCCTTGAGGGCCTTCAATACTTGGTCCCTGACTTCCCATGTAACCTCTTCCATAACACATGCCGGGGGTAGAATCGTGGAGGGTTCTGCGTCCTGATCAGGGGAATACTGTCTGGAGAGATCGTCGGGCTTGGTGTTTTTGGAACCTGGACGATAGGAAATTTGGAAGTTAAACCGGGAAAAGAAAAGGGACCACCTGTATTGACGTGGATTGAGCCGTTGTGCCTCCTTTAGGTAAACCAATTTCTTGTGGTCAGTCCAAATGATGAATGGCCTATCAGCGCCCTCCAACCAATGCCTCCACTCCTCGACGGCAAGTTTTACAGCCAGCAGTTCGCGGTCCCCAACGTCGTATCTGCTCTCAGCAGGTGTCAAACAACGCCAAAAGAAAGCATATGGATGGATGCGTTGATCCGCCAGCGAGACCTGGGACAGCACAGCTCCCACCCCGGTGTCCGAGGCATCCATCTCAAGGGTGAATTGACACAGCGGGTCTGGTCGGTGAAGCATGGGAGCATTGGTGAATTTCTTCTTCAGGGTCTGGAAAGCTGTGTCTGCTTCTGGGTACCAAACAAATGGTTTGTTAACAGAGGTCAGGTTGGTTAACGGGGCGGCGGTCTGGCTGTAATTCCTGATGAACCTTCGATAAAAATTAGCAAACCCCAAGAACCTCTGTAAATGTTTCAGTGTGGACGGTGTGGGTCACTCCGTGACTGCTTGCACCTTCTCTGGATCCGCCTTCAAACGCCCGCTCTCATTGATGAACCCCAAGAACTTAACAGTGGGGACCTGAAAAACACATTTTTCGGCCTTGACGTACAGCCTGTTCTCTAACAGGCACTGAAATACAGCTCTTACACGATGGGTGTGTTGTTCCTTGGTTTTAGAAAAAATCTAAATGACGTCCAAATACACTGTCACAAACGTGTTAATGTATTCACCCAACATGGAGTTCTCTAAAGACTGAAACACTGCGGGTGCATTGGTTAATCCAAACGGCATTACAAGGTACTCGAAATGACCAAGGGGTATCTTGAACGCCGTTTTCCACTTATCCCCCTCTCTGATTCTCACCAGATGATAGGCGTTCCTGAGGTCCAACCGGCTGAATATGGAGGCGTCCTGAATAGGCTCAAAAGTGGAGGACAGTAACAGCAGAGGATACTTATTCTTCACTGTAATCTGGTTAAAACCACTGTAATTGATGCAGGGCATGAGTGACCCATCCTTCTTGTGTTCAAAGAAAAACCCAGGTCCCAGAGGGGAAGAGGTCGGTCGTACGGTTCCAGCGGCCAAGCAGTCTTGGATGTAAAGCTCCATGCTTTCTCTCTCCGGCTTGGAGAGGTGATAAATATGGCTGGACGGAAGGGGGAACCTGGCAATAGATCAATCACACAGTCGAAGGGCCTGTGAGGAGGTAAAGAAGAAGCACGGTCTTTACTAAAAACTTGTTTGAGATCATGGTAAGCAGGTGGCACTGCAGAGAGGTCAATATTCTCCATAGGAGGAGTTGTGGTACCACACGTACCACAAGGATCCGTGCTTGGTCCATTGCTGTTTACAATGTACATTAATGACCTTCCGATGAGCTGCTCAGGCGTCAACTGCCAGATGTATGCTGATGACACCGTCATTTATGTGTCCACAAAAACACCTGGCCTGGCAGGAGAGCGCCTGACGCAGGCTTTATCAGACATCTCAGAATGGCTAGAGTCATCCCACCTAACTCTTAATGTTAAAAAAAACTGTGTCCATATGCTTCTCCATGAGAAACAGGCCTGATCAGGAACTATTTCAGGTTAGGATTAAAGAGGAAATCATTGAAGTAAGGAGTGATGTGAAGTACCTTGGGATCATCCTAGACAAACACCTAAAATTTGACAGTCAGGTTAAGCACGTCTGTAATAAGGTTAAAACAAATTTAAACTGCTTCCGTTTTATCAGAAGGAACCTGTCACACCAAACTGCTAAACTGTACATGCATGCACTGATCTTTCCCCACTTATCATACTGCATTACATCATGGTCACAGGCTTCATCCACCACTCTAAAACCTATAGTCTTAATATACAAGCAAGCAATAAAAATTATGGACCAGAAACCATTGAAATGGCATCATTGCCGTATTTTAAGGAAACATAATCTTCTCACTTTTGAAAATTTTATTAATTTTAGCACTCTAAGATTCTTTTTCAATTGTCTAAATGATAAATTGTCTAAACTGTTCTCTACTGTGGCCATCAGACGTCGGAGCTCTCATAGAACGATCACTCGAGCCTCCACCTGCGGCGATTGTCTCGTCCCGCGGTGCAAGACTTCTTTTGGTCAGTCTGCTCTTTCTGTAAAGGGGGCCAAACTGTGGAACTCTCTACCTGTTCACCTAAAACTAGAAACGGACAGTAACGTTTTTAACAAAGAACTCAAAAAATGGTTAAAGTCTAAACAACAATGTCTACATGAATAGTTTTAAAGTCTTGCATTGCTGCTCAAATTGCCTTGTTTTATTCTTTTTATTCTTTTTTATTGAAAATTGTTTGCAATTTTAATCTGTTTTCTCTTTGATTTATTGTTGATCTCTTTGTATTTTATTTAAATGTAGTCTACTTTTTAGAAAGGTTCTATGGACAAGTGTTGCAAATTAGCACGTGTGCTAACACACTACACAATGCATCTGGTTCGTCCAATGTAATTGCTGTGTCCATGTCAAATAAACATCACTCAGACGTAGTCAGTATGGCAGAGCGGAGGCATTGTTGGGAGCCCTCCGGACTCCAACCCACGATCTTGTTCTCCATACCGTCTAGCATAGGGTTGTGGCGAACCAACCAGGAATGTCCAAGCACCAATGGCGACTGTGGAGAAGGGAACACATAAAAAACCAAGGATTCTGTGTGGTTACCTGACACCTTTAGACAGAGGGGGATGGTTTGGTGAGTAATGGTGGAGAGGTTCCGATTGTCCAGAGAGGAGACTGAGAGAGGTGTGGTCAACTGGGTGAAGGGTCTCCTCCATTTTGCAACCAGTTGAGGATCCAAAAGGGACTGCTCACAACCCAAGTCCAGAAGGGCCTCGAGTTGGATCTGCACAGAGTTAAAAATCACAGAGCACGGGAGAGAACACCATGAACTGAGTTACTGAGTCTGAGTTACTGCCCACCAGAAGTCCCGGTTTTACCAGCAGACTCTGCCTTTTAACAGAGCCGGGCAGTTTCTAGCAAAATGTCAAGAGTTACCACAATACATGCATAGACCAGACCTTAACCGGTGCTCTCTCTCCTCCTGCGACACTCGAGTCCTACCCATCTGCATGGGTTGTTCCACTGTTGAGGAATCTGCTGTCGAGTGACCACTGGCTCCTTGGACCCATTCCTGAGAAGGAGGCCAACTCGGCCTGGGGTCCTGTCGTCTCAGCTCGTGGTGTCTCTTATCGATGGAGGTGGCAAATCTGATGAGCTCCTCCTCCACAGTGCCAACTGGTTCTGGACCCGATCATTAAGGGCCTCGGTGAAGGCTGCGATAAGAGTGTCCTCGTTCCAGGATGTCCGGGCTGCCAGGATGCGAAAATCCAATACCATGTCTACCACCGACCTCCTGCCTTGAGAAAGTGTCCACAGCTTCTTCCTGATGTCTGAGCTGGACTCAGTACTTCCAAAAATCACTATATGATCCGTTCAGAAAAGAGTCACAGTGGCTCTTAGCCTCGGCCCATCTCAGCGCCTTTCCTCGTAGAAGCCCCACTACGTAGGATGTCTTAAATGAGTCGGAGGCAAAAACTACCAGAGAACATTCGAAGGCCAGTCTACACTGGAGTAAAAAAACTGTGGCAATCCTCAAACTCATCCCTAATTGTCACTGATGGGGGAGATGTCGCTAAACGGAAGTGGGTGATTTCCTGTAGGACCTGAGGCTTCCGGTCCGGGGGAAACAGAGGTTGCAGGAGTGGCTGATGATGGTTCTGCTGGTAGAGATGGCTGGTGAGGTTGAGACAAATCGTCATGGATTTATCGTTCAAGAGGTCTCCAGTTGTTGGTAGCGTTGATTAGCTGTGGCGAGTTGCTCCATGAGTAATGGTAGGGTCTGTTCCTGCTGAGTTAACCTGTGGGTGAGATCTGTTATGGCTGCTTGTGCGGGGTTAGCGGTTTGGCCGGATGATTCTATCTTGGTATGGATAAGGTGTCAAACCCAAGACATGCAGAATCAGACTGTACACAGATCGATGAGGAAAAACAATTATTGTTGGATGAACAATAACTAAAGACACACTGGAAAATCCAGCGGATGAGGAACGGGAAGGCAGCATCTAGAGGGGAGAGCAAACCAGAGGTGAGTCCTGGGAGATTGAGTCCAACAGGGAATGCTGAGTGGTGACTTACAGAGGGAGAATGGTCTAGGAGAGTGAGAGGAGGTAGTGGGCCGGGGTGTAATCCAAGAGGGGTGTTTGGAGCTGGAGAGGGAGCGAGGAGTCGATGGAGAGCGGGTCGGTTAGGACGGGTGGATGGATGAACGTAGAAGGGGAGCCGGTGCGGAGTCCCATGCAGTCTGGTTGAAGGATCCTGAGGCATTGGAAGACCTGAGGTAGGTGAGCCAAAAAACATTCAAAAATGACACGAAGTCCAAATATTCACACTATAGCACTAGAAAAACCTGGAGACAAGTACGAGAGCTGGAAACTACCAGTCAGTAGCAATCATCCGGCGCTGAGTAGTGTTCACCATCCTCCTTATGAAGCTGACCAGCTGATTAGCTGACAAGGTGCAGCTGCTGCTCCCTCTTCTGCAAACAAAACACTCAGAGATGTTGAGAATGGGAAGAGTACTTACCCCGGCTCATGACAGATGGGGTTGAGGGGCTGAGTTTGGAGTATCCGGACATTCCCTGGAGATGGGTTCACTGGGGGTGTCTGGGACTGGGGGGCTGCTGCCCCCCTCTGGAGAGCTTGGGTTGCCTCGGGGGGTGGACTACTGGCGATTGTGAGTGGGGACATTTGGGGGTCTTGGCGGAGGCCATGGTTCACTGCCTGGCAGCTGCATTGCCCCTGAGCAGGTCTGGATGGGGGCCTGGTGGCTCAGGGTGTGGGGGTGGCCGGCCCCGTGTGGGGATCTGGGCAGGGCCTTGGGGTCGGGTCCTTACATGTATGCTGCCAGGAAGAAGGCGGGAACATGCGTGAGTGCCTGGCCTGGGCTCAGGGGCCTCAGGTAGACCTTGGCTCCTTTGCTGTCCCATCACATGGGAGGGGGATGTCCAGGAAGGGGAGGACCCAACCTTACCTGGATGTCCTGTGTCTTATATATTCTAGAAGTTGTGCAAACACAGGGATGGGAGTAGATATTCTGCTGGGGTGGGGCTGGGTTGGTGCCCTCTGACTCCGTGAGTCTCTGTGATGCTGCTGCTTTGGGCCCTGGCAAGATGGGCTGGGGGTCTCCATGCCCTGGGTGGCATTTTGGCAACAGAGGTGCCTATTGGGGCCAGTGGGGAAGCTGGCTCCCTGGAGGGCATAGTCCAACCAGCCATTCCTCCCCATCCCCACACATTTGTCTCCTCCTGCTCCCTCACATCATCACACAAACATGCACATAGGACCTTGGGGGGTGGACAAGTCAGGGGGTGCAGGTATGGACCCCATTTCTGCATTCCTGTGACAACCTGCCCCCCAGTTTTATTTGCACCTTAAACACTTCCAACAACGATTTTTCAGCCTCATCCCAAGTGCTGGTGCCCACTTCCAATTTTAAACTACACTTAGCCATTGAGGGCCGTGGGTGAAAGTTGGGTAGTGTGGTTGCATCAGCTGGGGTAGGCCAGACGATGCCTGCACTGCCTGCTCACCAAAGCCATGGAATACACCTCATTAACAAGCAATAACACTGTATTGGAGCAGGCGGAGGGAGACTAGGTGTCTTAGCACACCTCTGTTGATGCTTGGCTTCCCGGGGCTGGAGGCTAGGAGGGAGATCTGGCTGTCTGTTTGGGGTCTGGGGTGGTGGATTTCTTTGCTTAGCAATGGGCTGGGGGACCTGCTCATCAGCACCCCAGCAGAAAGGGTCGAACTCTGGGAACCGGTGATGATTGTACCTCTTGTGCAGCAGTTCCGGGACCAGAGTGAATAGGGTGTGTATGGGGAGCATGAACGGGTGTCCAGCGTGCATTTTTGTAAGTCTTTGTTTGTATGTGTATGTGTGAGCATGAGGGAGGGAGAGTGTGACTGTGTCTGTGTATGACTCTATATGTCAGGTAGGGCCTTTGACTCCTCCCTTCTCCTGGGACTCCTTTTGATACTAAACATCTTTGTCTCCCCTCCCCCTGCCACACCTGGTGTGGAGTGTGGTGCCTTGGTCTGCTGAGTGTTCGTGGTTTCCGAGTCGGGGGGATTAAGATTTTTGGCGTCTGCCTGATCAATCCCGGTGGCTGCCTGGAGGGA